GGGAGTCTCGAACAAAAAATGTATGGCGCACTTTTTGATTGGTCCAGTGGATGCTGAGCTACACTCACTAAAACTGGGGAATAATTTTCGAAAAAAAAATTTGCCAGATAATGACTCGGGAATAATGCCAAAAAATTGAGCAAAAAGTCTCGAACAAAAAATATATGGCGCACTTTTTGATTGGTCCAGCGGATGCTGAGCTACACTAGAAAACAAATTTGGAAAAATTGAGAAAAATTAAATAAGCGAGATAATCGTCCAGGAATTCCGCCAAAGTAGTTAGAAGAAAGTTCTGAACAAAAAATGTATTGCGTACTTTTTGATTGGTCCAGCGGATGCTGAGCTACACTAGAAAACATTTTGGAAAAATTATCAAAAAATTAAATTTTCGAGATAATCGCTCCGGAATACCATAACTGTCTTTAGCAAAAAGTAGCGAACAAAAAATGTATGGGACACTTTTTGATTGGTCCAGCGGATGCTGAGCTACAGTAAAAAATAATTTGGAAAAATTTTCAAAAAATTAAATTTGCAAGATAATCGTTCGGGAATACCGTCATAGTGATTAGAAGAAAGTTCTGAACAAAAAATGTATAGGGAACTTTTTGATTGGTCCAGCGGATGCTGAGCTACACTAGAAAACAAATTTGGAAAAAATTTCGAAAAATTAAATTTTCGAGATAATCGTTCGGGAATACCGCCAATAAAATAGGGAAAAAGTTTCGAACAAAAAATGTATGGGGCACTTTTTGATTGGTCCAGCGGATGCTGAGCTACAGTAAAAAACAAATTTGGAAAAAATTTCAAAAAATTAAATTTGCGAGATGATTGATCGGGAATACCGCCAAAGTCTTAACCCGGGAGTCTCGAACAAAAAATGTATGGCGCACTTTTTGATTGGTCCAGCGGATGCTGAGCTACACTTAAATAAAATTCCGAAAAATTTTCGAAAAATTAAATTTTCGAGATAATCGCTCCTGAATACCACCACAAAAATAGGGAAAAAGTTTCGAACAAAAAATGTATGGCGCACTTTTTAATTGGTCCAGCGGATGCTGAGCTACACTCAAATCAATTTCAGAAAAAATTTTGAAAAATTAAATTTTCGAGATAATCGCTCCGGAATACCATAACTGTCTTTAGCAAAAAGTAGCGAACAAAAAATGTATGGGGCACTTTTTGATTGGTCCAGCGGATGCTGAGCTACACTAGAAAACAAATTTGGAAAAATTTTAGAATAATTAAAATTGCGAGATAATCGTTCGGGAATACCGCCAAAGTCTTTAGCAAAAAGTAGCGAACAAAAAATGTATGGCGCACTTTTTGATTGGTCTAGCGGATGCTGAGCTACACTCAAATCAATTTCGGAAAAAATTTCGAAAAATTAAATTTTCGAGATAATCGCTCCGGAATACCATAACTGTCTTTAGCAAAAAGTAGCGAACAAAAAATGTATGGGGCACTTTTTGATTGGTCCAGCGGATGCTGAGCTACACTTAAATAAAATTCCGAAAAATTTTCGAAAAATTAAATTTTCGAGATAATCGCTCCTGAATACCACCACAAAAATAGGGAAAAAGTTTCGAACAAAAAATGTATGGCGCACTTTTTGATTGGTCCAGCGGATGCTGAGCTACACTAGAAAACAAATTTGGAAAAAATTTAGAGTAATTAAATTTGCGAGATAATCGTTCGGGAATACCGCCAAAGTCTTAACCCGGGAGTCTCGAACAAAAAATGTATGGGGCACTTTTTGATTGGTCCAGCGGATGCTGAGCTACAGTAAAAAACAAATTTGGAAAAAATTTCAAAAAATTAAATTTGCGAGATGATTGATCGGGAATACCGCCAAAGTCTTAACCCGGGAGTCTCGAACAAAAAATGTATGGCGCACTTTTTGATTGGTCCAGCGGATGCTGAGCTACACTTAAATAAAATTCCGAAAAATTTTCGAAAAATTAAATTTTCGAGATAATCGCTCCTGAATACCACCACAAAAATAGGGAAAAAGTTTCGAACAAAAAATGTATGGCGCACTTTTTAATTGGTCCAGCGGATGCTGAGCTACACTCAAATCAATTTCAGAAAAAATTTTGAAAAATTAAATTTTCGAGATAATCGCTCCGGAATACCATAACTGTCTTTAGCAAAAAGTAGCGAACAAAAAATGTATGGGGCACTTTTTGATTGGTCCAGCGGATGCTGAGCTACACTAGAAAACAAATTTGGAAAAATTTTAGAATAATTAAAATTGCGAGATAATCGTTCGGGAATACCGCCAAAGTCTTAACCCGGGAGTCTCGAACAAAAAATGTATGGCGCACTTTTTGATTGGTCCAGCGGATGCTGAGCTACACTAGAAAACAAATTTGGAAAAATTGTTGAAAAATTAAATTTGCGAGATAATCGTTCGGGAATACCGCCAAAGTCTTTAGCAAAAAGTAGCGAACAAAAAATGTATGGCGCACTTTTTGATTGGTCCAGCGGATGCTGTGCTACACTCAAATATTTTTTTTGAAAATTTTGCGAAAAATTAACTTTTCGATATAATCTTTTTTAGATAATAAAATAATACATTTTTTGACCATTATTTCAGTTTAACTAATAAAATATTTGCTTTTGATAAAAAAATTACTGTAAATATTTGATTAATGGAAAAAAAGAGTGATGCCACCTACCTTCTAAAAAGCGGGTCTATATTAGTTTATCGACAAATGTTCATAATAAACTTTAATACATTGAAATTAATAAAAACATTAAATTTTTATAATTATTTAACAATAATCATCATAAAAAACATAAATTTATTGTTTTAATCATTTAATTATATATTTCATCATTTTTTATATATTTGAGACAAAATTTCAATCTCAACCCCGTGTTCCAGGAATGCTCCGCCAATTTCGTGGAGCATTCGCATCATACAATCTGTCAGGGTTTCTGTCTACTTCTGCCTATTTTCTGTCTATTTAAAAATTGATTATATTCTATGTATTTTCTAGTTTCTTTCTATTTTCTGTCTAGTTTCTGTATGATTCTATTCTAGGTTTTATATACGAATATTGTGAAAGGTTAGGACAGATATAATATCTAGGTTCTGTTTAGTTTCTGTCTAGTTTCTATCTAGTTTCTATCTAGTTTCTATCTAGTTTCTATCTAGTTTTTATACTGAATATTTAGAAAGGAGGTGACAGGTGTACTATCTAGGTACTATCTAGTTTCTATCTATTTTCTATCTAGTTTCTATAAAAAATATTTAGAAATGACAGAAAAAATGGTATATTTGGTTTAAACGAAACTTTACTCTGAGTACTTATTAAGTTAGTAAATGGTAATTTAAATTATTGTATTAAATTAATTAATTAAGTAAAATGTATCATTAAAATAAAAATATAATATAAATGAAAATAAATAAAATTAAATTTTTGAAAAAAAAATGAACTTTATATGGTCAATAAAGTGAGTTATAAAACGATTTGAAGTAATGCAAACTATATCAGATTGGAATTCGAATAATTTTAACTTCAAGGTGCACAGACCCTTCAAGTTTAATAGTACACCTCTTGACCCACCCATATCAACTTAACGATGCTTATTCACGGGGTATGGTTAAAATCATTATTCATTGCTCTTAACAGGAACAAAATCTTTCTTTCTCTCTCTCTTTTGATAGAGAATTTCAATCAAATAAGCGAAGAAAATAACCGTAATGCCATTAACGTTCCGTAGCGCACAAGTATTAGAATGTTTCAGGCTGGTTGCACTTGCCGGCAAGAAAAATTAAATTACTCTTTTTCCTTGCGAGTTGAATATACGCTCACCAGAGAGCGACGCTGACTTGATCACCGACCGAACGGATTTTATTTCATTTCCGCATGTTAAATATAAGACTCTTTAAATGATGAATATATATGTGTTTTATTAGCAAAAAAAAAAATTTCACTTTATGATTCAACAAATATAACGAGGACAATGCTCTCATATAGTTTTTTTTATAATTCTCCATTATATATATTTTTTAATTCTATATATGCTAAATAAATATTAATTTGTTTCAAATAAATATTTATTTGTCTCAAAAAAAAATTTATTTGTCTCAAAAAAAAATTTATTTGATTTAAATAAAAAATTTATTTCCGCTAAATAAAATTTGATTTGTGCTAAATTAATTTTTATTTTATTTAAAACAAATAAAAAGTTTATAGACTCTTGAGACAAATATATTTTTATTTTGAATCAAATAAATTTTATTTGTCTCAAATAAAAGATTTCATTAGGTGTAAAGTTTGCAGGAAATTATTAAGGAAAACCTTTTTCATAAACAGAAAACACATTAAAAAAAAGAAAAACTTTTTTCTGAACAAGAAAAAAAAATGCATCAGTGATTGACCGGAAGTGAGAATATATACAATAATTGATTCAATCAAAGAATTTATTTCAATCCGAAAGTAAGGTTTCTCCCCCTTTTTCCCCATTAGAAGCCGTAAATTTATAAATGAAGTGTAAATAAAACCTTTATAGTTCTTTATTTAAAGAATTGATTTCATCTTTTCTTTTTTTAATTCCTCGGATCTTTTTTCCTTATATATATTAAATTTATTTTAAAAATAACTATTAGCGCCTAATTATAATAATAATATTTGTATACTGAAAAAAAATTTAATTGATTTAAATACATCGGTTACTTGACTATTATCAAATAAATATTTACTCGAATCAAATAATTTTTGAAACCAAATAAAAAATAATTGAATAAAATTAACCAATAATTTCTGTTAATTAAAATAAATAATATTTGACTAAAATAAATAAATAAATTATTATTATTATTATTAAACAAATAATAATAGCGGGGTTATTAATTAAAAATCCATAAATAAATAAAAATTGTAATAATAATAATAAATAATAAAAAATTGCAAGTGGAATAATAATTTGCATATTGAATTCGTGATTTATTTTATTAAAAAAAAATAATAAAAATGAGAAGTAACAGTTACCTGAAAGACGAGAACAAAGGGAACCCATTGATAATATTTTACATGCTTTGTTATTCCTTCAGCGACACGTTGACGGTCGACCTGATGTTGCTGTCGATGATTACGATAGTTGTTGAATTGCAATGCTGGCGCGACACCAGGAAATGCAACGTCTACACCAGCAACGCCCAACATTGCACCAGTCACGAAATACGTGCTATGCATCCAGCAATAAGCGTTAAAAGCTTCAACTGGAATGTCCCTGTTTAAAAAAAAAAAAAAAAAAGAAAAATATTTCTCCATAAAAATATTATATTTGCAAGACAGGGGAAGTTTTCTCTCTCACCCCTTCCCCCCCACCCCCGAGTTATAAATAACCAAACCTATGAATAAAATACCCCTCTCGATATATATATATATTTTTTTATATTTATGTAAACATACTCATCATTTTACAGAAACTCTATACAGAGAAATTATTTTTAAAATTTCTATTTTCTTCCCATGTCATTCACTGTGGTAATTTCGAAATAATTTAATTTTCATTAATTAAGAATTTTTCACTCGTTTGTATTTTTTATTTTATTTATTTTTAATTATTAATTATTCATTAATTATATTATATTTATTATTATTATTATTATTATTATTATTATTTTTATTTTTATTATTATAAATAATAAGAAATAATATAAATAAATATATAGTAAATTAAATAATAATGAAATTAAAAATATTTTCGATTTTATATTATTTAATTTTTGACGATATAAATATAATATTAATTAAATATAATTAATTTAATCTGCAATTTTTTTAATAAAAAAAAACTTGAATAATTAATTAAAACATTAATTTTATTTAAAACTTATTTTTGTTATTTTATTGATTCTTTTCTTTTATTTTATTCATTCTTTTATTCTGTATTTTATTTATTTTTCATTATATTTTACATTTTTAAATTCCTAGTTTCTTTTTTTTTGGGCGAAATTTTTTATTTAACTTTTATTTATATTAAAAAAATTAAAAATAATTTCATGAATATAAAATATAACTTAATTTAACTAAATAATATTTTGTTTCCGGGAAAATTTTTTTTATGTAAAAGAAAATTTTTTGTTTACCAACAAAACATGTTTTTTTGAGTTCAAATATATATATATATATACGTAATATATACAACTTTTATCCTATAGACAAATATTATATTTATAAAATTTTGGTATGAAGAAATATCTTTTAAAACGAGATCAAGGGGGGATTTCAAAATACGTTTGACTATTTCAAAATTTATATTCAAAAATATATATGTTATTTAAAATTTTCTAAATGAACTTTAAAAACTGTTGTGAAATATTGCTGATGGAATCAGTTTATCATCAAGATAATCGTGCAAAAAGTAGCGAGATAAAGATAAAGCAGAATTTTCTAATTATAAAAATTGCACGGTAATGAAATTATTAAATGTTTCGAAAGAAACAAACAATTTTTTTTTTAAATTTACATGTTTCTTTATATTATTTTCATTATTATTATTATTATTATTATTATTATTATTATTGTTATTATTATTACAGTAAAAAAAAAAATTATTTTATTAAAATAATCGAATATTATCCAATAAATATTTAAATGCATCAAATAATTTTTATTTAAATTAAAGAAATTAAAATTTTTTATAAATTAAATAAAATTTCGACTAAAATTTTTTATTTAAAACAAATATTATTTGATTCAAATAATAATTATTTAATACAAATAAATATTTATTTGATAATAGTCAAGTAACCAATCATTTGAATCAAATAAACTCACAGAAAATTAAAAGGCATTAAAATAAGCTGCAACGCTTATTATTTTAATCCAATTTTTCTTATTTTAATCCATTTTTGTATTAAAATAAGCAAAATTGGATTAAAATAATAAGCGTTGCAGCTTATTTTAATATCTTATAATTTTCTGTGCTATTTTTCAGTGTATTTTTAATATTGTTTTATTAATATTTTTTTTTGTTAATTATTATTATTATTTTTATTTATTTATTTAATAATTTAATTTATTTATTTAATAATAATAATAAAACAGGAATTATTATTATTTTTATTATTATTATTATAAAAATGCAATATTATAAATAATTAAATAAAAAATATTAAACCAAAGAAAAGAATTTTTTAAATTCAATTTTCTCTGCAGCACTTTGGATAATTAAATCAAAAAAAAGTTTTCTCGTCATTCAAGGATTTTTAATGTGAATTTTGAAATTTTGCCAAACATATTCAATTCGCCTATATATAATTTGCATTACAAAGTTGCAATGAAATATATTTCTAACATAATAATTTTTTTTTTTTTTTTTGCTGCATCCCTTCATTCTTTTTTCATATATATGTGTAAAAAAATATTTTCTTTGAAACAAGAATAATAATAATAAAAAGAGGGCAATAAATTTTATTTTCTACCTTGTGTGAATGCAATCAATAGGATTGCCAACTGCTTGTTTCGCCGAAAGCATTACGGAAAAGACGATCAGAAGAACGGCAGTAAGTACATGGAGTCTGGTTACACAACCATCACTTCTTACTCTGTTCACCTAAATCAGAATATAAAACGAAAATAGATTTTCTGTTTCTGTGTGTTACAATTTTTAAAAAACAAAAATTTTCTCAAAAAAAATTTTTTTTTTTTCCCCTCAACAATAATAGGTAAAGTTGACAATTAATTTTAAAAAATATTATATATCATTCAAACAAAATAAATAAAAAAAAAATAGCCTCGATAAAATAATTTATTTGAATCAAACAAATTTTTTACTTGTAAGAAACAAACTTTTTGTTTCGATTAAGTTAAAAAAAATTATACAGAAAGTTAAAAATTTTTTTTCTTTTTCAGATTGACGTTCTCCAATCCAGTAATTTCGGTAAGTAATTAATTTTTTTTAAATTTAGAACAATTGTTCGAATTTTACACTGAAAAAAAATTCCCTTCTAATCTGTTACTTGACTATTATAAAAATTAATATTTTCTTCAACCAAATAATTTTTTTTACTGTTTTAAATAAAAATTAATAAAAAAAAATTAATACAAAAAATTAATAAAAAAAAATTAATAAAAATAAATTTTTTTTTAAATGAAAAATAAATATTTATTTAATAATAGTAAAGTAATCGATTATTTTTGAATTAAATTTTTTTTTCTGTGTAGTTAAAAAAAAAATTAGAATACAGTGAAATCTCTCACATGAAAGAGAAAATAGAGGTTCCTGACGGCATCCATAATCCAAACGTCGTGTCGGCTTTTACGTTTGGATCTGGCCAAACGTATCCATCCAAGTTTTTTCTTTTTATTCTTTTTGCTTGATGATGAGGAAGATGATAATGATGATGATAATGATTTCGATGATCCTTTACGTGAATTTTCCTTTATTTTCACATCAGAAGGTAAAACATGTTCGATGCCCTTCCCACGAAAACTCTTCATATTCCGAATTTTCTCTTTTATTATCTAGCCTTGCAACAATTGTTCCAAGAGAAAGGACACGATTAATAGGGCAACGTGTCTTCCTCATGTCACATAGAAAAAAAGAAAAAAAAATCTCGAACCCACATTCACCATTAATTGTGGTCCATTTATTGTTAAAAAAAAAATTTTTATTTATTTATTATTTATTTGTTATTAATTAAATTTTTATATAACACGTGCGCGCGCTTTTTATCGCCATATTTTTTTTTATATACGCGCACATTCTCCAAAATAATAATTAACAGGTGTCAGCCTCCATTGTATCTCGTGATTTCTCATCCTCGTGTATGTCACTTAAATATCGTTCACTATCCAACACATCATTTTGTTCTTCTTCAATTTCCTCTGGAAAATTGCATTTTATTGATTTGATTATAAAAAATTTTTAGTGCATTTTTTTATGTTAATTATTTAAAATTTTTAAAAATTTAAATTTTTTTAAAAAATTATTATTTATATTCGAAGAATTATTATTTATTTACTATTATTATTACGTTAGTTTCTATATTCTATTATTTATTTTTATTTTATATTAGTACTTTTTTATTGATTATTTATTGCTTTGCTTTTTATTTGTTCGTATGTAATTTATTCATTTATTTGTTTTTTATTTGATTTTTTTATTTATTTGTTTGCACTTTATGCACTTTTCTATATTTTTTTTTATTTTTTATTATTTTTTTATTTTTTATTATTTTTTTTATTGTTTTTATTTGTTCGTTTGTACTTTATTCACTTTTTTTATTTGTTTTTTTATTTTTTTATATTTTGTTTTATTTATTTGTTTGTATTTTATGCACTTTTTAATATTTTTTACTGTTTTTATTTATTATTTTTTTTTTATTGTTTTTATTTGTTCGTTTGTAATTTATTCACTTTTTTTATTTTTTTATTTATTTGTTTGTATTTTATGCACTTTTTTATATATTTTTTACTGTTTTTTAAAATTTTTTATTGTTTTTATTTATTCGTTTGGTACTTTATTTACTTTTTTTTTATTTTTTTATTTATTTGTTTGTATTTTATGCACTTTTTTTTATATTTTTTACTGTCTTTATTTATTCGTTTGGTACTTTATTTACTTTATTTTTATTTTTTTATTTATTTGTTTTTTTTTTGCACTTTTTTATATTTTTTCTGTTTTTATTTATTTTTTTTATTTTTTATTCTTTTTATTTGTTCGTTTGTACTTTATTCACTTTTTTTATTGTTTTTATTTGTTCGTTTGTACTTTATTCACTTTTTTTTATTTGTTTTTTTATTTTTTTATATTTTTTTTTTATTTATTTGTTTGTATTTTATGCACTTTTTTATATTTTTTACTGTTTTTATTTATTTTTTTTTATTTTTTATTCTTTTTAATTGTTCGTTTGTACTTTATTCACTTGTTTTTATTGTTTTTATTTGTTCGTTTGTACTTTATTCACTTTTTTTTATTTGTTTTTTTATTTTTTTATATTTTTTTTTATTTATTTGTTTGTATTTTATGCACTTTTTTTATATTTTTTACTGTTTTTTAAAATTTTTTTATTGTTTTTATTTATTCGTTTGTACTTTATTTACTTTTTTTTATTGTTTTAATTTTTAATTTATTTATTTGTTTGTATTTTATACATTTTTTTATATTTTTTATTATTTTTATTTACTTTTTTTATTATTTTTATATATTTCTTTTAATTTATTATTTAAATTTCCCTCTTTTTTTTAATTCAAATTTCTTATATATATATATTATTTTTTTTATTTTGTTGCTCACATTTTTTTTCTTAACTCCATACTTTTGTTTATTTTCTCTATACTCCTTTTGTTCGTAGACCACATTTTATTTTCACTTTTTATTTATCAAACTTAATTTTAAAAAAAGTATTTCAAAAAAATTTTCTATATTTTTTATATTTAGTTTTTTTTTGAACGTATATTTTAGTATTGATTAATTAAACATTTTTGTCATTTTTTTTTTACTTGATAAATGTTATAATTGTCATGAAAAATAAACTTTTTCGCTTCTGAGACACTTTTCAGATAATTTTTCTTTTTTTTTTTTGTTTGAAGGAAAATAAATGAGTATTTTTGAAGAAAGAACCGTGAGTCGTAGAAGAAATAAATGCGTTTTCTTGTTTGGATTTCTTTTTTTTTTTTTCTCCTCGTGCGTGTAACGCGGGGGAAAAGAAGCGCGGTTATGTCGATAATGTTTCTCTTGGAATGTTTTAAGTGTTTGTCGGTAAAAATAAAAATAAATCGAAGAATGGGGGTTTGGATTGGAAAAAAAGGGGTTTTATTTATTATTTTTTTTTTTTTTTCTCTCAAATCAATATATTTCGATTATTGGTCTAGTATCGCGGGACGGTTTCCAACAAACTGAAACACATTATGTGACCTACTGTGCTCGTCCTCCGTTATTACTACTATATCCAAACGGTGCCAAAACGCAGAGCGATTCTACTCGTTGATTCGGCCCGCTTTTATTTTTATATTTTCCGCCCTTGTCTCGTCTCTTCACTCCCTCGTGTGAACCTTTATGAAGGCGCGCGCGATCCATTGCGCGGGGAAACGCGCGCATTTCATCTTCGTCTTCTTCTTATCTTCTTCCTCTTCTTTTTCATTTTCTTCATCTTCGATCGCCTACGCGATATTTACAACGCGCTCGTTTAAAACACGCATGAGAGAATTTTACGACATATTATTAATTTTATAGGAACATTTTCAAACTTTTATTAGGGTGTAAGTGAAAACTCAATTTTCTTCAATACATATCTTTTAAAAAAAAATCAGATATAAAAAATTATTTAAATTATTTTAAATTTTTTGGTAAATTGTTATCCTATAGTAATGGCTAACTGAAATTATAAATATTTATAGAAAGTAGAGAAGTTAAAAATTTTTTTTTAGTCATTAAAATTTTTTTTAATATATAAGAATGAATAATAAATTGACGAGAAAATGATTTTTTCTTGTTTTTTTCCTAGAGTTACAAATAATTTTCGTCTGACCATAAAAGGTGTTTTCTACTTTTTACAAAATGGCATCAGGATGTCTGACTCAATTGCAATTTTTCTACTTAAAAAATTTAATATTTAAATTCTAATTTAAAAACTTAGTCTGACTAAAGTATAGTTTTTCTACTTTAAAAAACAAATTGTCTTTAAAATAAAAAAAAAACTGGTCTGACTATACTCCATCTTCTCTACTTCAAATATTAAATATTGTTCTGTGCAACTTTATCTACAAAAAATTTTTTTTTGTCTAGGCTTCAATTTTTCTATTAAAAAAATAAAAAATTCCCTTTCTAATTACAAATTTTAGGTTTGACTTTCTCTACTTAGAAAAACAAATTGTTTAATTTTTTTTTTTAATTCATGTCTGACTAAACTCCACCTTTTCTACTTTATGAATTAACTCTTTTTAATTAAAAAAAACGACTTTCGTCTGACTAAACTGTACTTTTTCTACTTAAAAATTACTTCTACTATTCTACTTTAAGAATGAAATATCAATAACAAAATTAAATAAATAACTGAAAACTTTTAAAAAAAACTATGAACAATGTTTAACATTCGAAATACGTAAATTTTAAATTTTAAATTCTTACAAACTTGACTGAAAAGAAATACTTAAAAAATAAATAAAAAAAAACTTATTTTACAATTTGGAAAATCTTTTTTTCTCGCAATTCAATATTGATTCATTTTCATTCGTGTATATATATATAAAGGTAAACGGTTGACGCAAAAGCATGTTTCAAAGTTCATGAAAAGTCAATCGTGCTGAAACGAAAGACTTTGGATAAACACGTGTGTTTATCGAAGTGTTAATATCTCTCTCTTATATATGAATTTTACATTTCTTTGAATTACACATTATTTTCTTACATACCCGTTTCATCTTTGTTAAAAAATATTTTTTTATTTAATTTCTTTTATTTTTTTTTTATTTTTTTTTTTATTTAATTTTTTCTTCTTTTTTTTAATATTTTCTTTTATTATTTATTTAGAGACGGGACAAGCCTATTTCTTTTTATATTTGAGATTATTATAAATTTTTTAGAAAAAAAAATTCTCATGACTTTTAAAATTATTTCTAGAGAGAAATTTTTTTTGGCAATGTCTCTTCTAATTTAGAAAAAAAAATCGGGGTAATTTTTTTTTTTTTTTTTTTCCTTTAAAAAGAAGCAAATCTATATTGCAGAGCACGCGACTATATATCTGAAACTACCTTTCGTTATTAAAGTTTTGCCTTGAGCGCATTCCAATAATATTTCCACGAATCACTTCTTTTTTTTTTCCTTTCCCTTCAAACTCCTGCCGATATATGCAGTTCTTTAAAATCGTGTGTATAACAAAAATTGAAGGTTTTCTGATTTTAAAACCAGTTTCTGTCAGATAAGAAGAGAATTTTTTGCCATCAATCACAATTTTTCAACTCTTTCAAAAAAAATTTAGTACAAAAAGAAAACGAAAATAGAAAAATGTATTAAAAAAATATATAAAACCATAAAAAGAAAAAAAAAAGAAAAAATATATAAAAATAAATGAAACAAAAATTAAAAATACAAATTTTTTTTTAAAAATACATAAAAATAACACAAAAAATCAGCTGCACAATTCATCATTTAATTCTCCTACAAAGATATTTGGTACATAACTGAACTTATTTTTTATTCGATGGAAAAAAAAATCTCTTATTCATCTACGTAGTCACAGAAAGTAAACGGCATTTTCTCAAAACACCGTTTTAAATATATATATATTTTTTTTGTATATATAGACAGGGTTATCAAAATATATCAGAGCCTGCAAAAAATTTTTTTTCGAAATCGAATTTTTGTTTAAAAATCAAAAAATTTGGTTTAGATTTTTTTTCCGGTTCCGCTACATTTTGATCACCCTGTATATATATAATTATTATCTTCCCCCTCATCAATTCTGTCGCTACTAAAATCTAGTTTAAAAAATACTTCTCTATCTCAGATATGCACAACTCTATTTAAAAAAAAAAGAATCATAGGTATTTTCCTATAAATCTCTTAAATTGTCGAATGATGAAACATTTTTTTTTCTTCTTCTCACAAAGAGCGAATACGCGCGAGCCTCTATTTCTCTATGAAGATCTTGAAAAATGAAGTAAAAGATTTCAAATCAAAATTTCCCCCCCAAAAAAAGGAGAATTTTGTTCAATTTCTCAAAATTCTTTGATTAAAATAAATATTTATTTGCTCTAAAATAAACGTTTCGATACATTATTCGAATGATAAAAAAATTTGATTGAGACAAATAAACTTTTGATTTATTGAAACAAAAGTTAACATTCATTTGGTTGATTCAAAAATTTGTTTGAAACAAATTTTTTTTCCTGAGTAATGGAGAAAAAGCTTTTTTTAATTTCGCAAATTTTTTTTTAAAAAAATTGAAATCTTCGGCTTCATTGTTTAAAAAAATAATAATTGCACAAAGCATTCGAATCTCAGAAAGGCACGCTCGGCGTTACAATCAGTTTTGAGCTTCGAAAAAGAACAATTTTTTTTTTTTTTTTGAATCGAAAATCCAAAAAAAGGAACATTTAACAATCTCATCAGTCTTTGCAAAAAGTTTTGCTTAAAAAAAAAATGTGTGGCAGATTTTTGTTTTGTTTATAACAATCACAAATATTAACACGTAGTCATTTATCTTTTGAGCAGTCTCGACCTTCCTTGAAATGAATTCTATATGGAAAAAAAAAAGATTTTTCCTTTTTTATTAAACGCTCGCTCTTCTTTTTTCACATATACATATCTATATATTATATAAAAATATATATATTCGCTATACGAGGCATCGTTTGCCTATAATTGATCTTATATAAATTCTATATATATAAAGTGACCGTTTTTTTTTTTTGTAAATATTTAAATTTTCTAATGTTTAACAAATATGTAAAAATAGGTACAAAAAAGTACCATTTTTTTTCTCTCTCTTTTTTTTGTTTAGTACATTTTTATTAATATTCGATATTTGTAATTTCTGTATTTTTTTGCAATTAGAACAGAAATTACAAAAAAAAATCGGAGATAGCACAAAAAAAATTAAGAAACATTAGAAAATGGTAAAAAAAAATTTTATACTCTAAGTCACGAATCTAATCTACATTGGACGGCTATCCTTTCCCTTTTTTTTAATCCTATTTTCGAGTATTGATGCCGTCAGCTTTTTTAAGGAATGTTAACATTCTTTTTTTTTTTTTTTTTTTGTAAAAAGGAAGGAGTACAATCTCAATATTTTTTGTGTCGAAAAAAATTAGAATCCAAAAAAAAAAAAAATAATCTTGGAACGATCGAGAGAAAAAATGAAAAAAAATATCTTCCTAGCGTTTTTAGGGTTTCGTGTCCCAGGCTATTGTTGTCATGGTAACAATTACCATAGCAACCGTTTCCATGATTACTGTTTCAATAGCAACGGTTACCATAGTCACCGTTTCCATGACAACAGTTTCCATAGCAACCGTTTCCATAGTAACTAACAGTTTCCATAGCAACCGTTTCCATAGTAACTGTTGCCATAGTAACTAACAGTTTCCATAGCAACCGTTTCCATAGTAACTGTTGCCATAGTAACTAACAGTTTCCATAGCAACAGTTTCCATAGCAACCGCTTCCATAGTAACTGTTGCCATAGTAACTAACAGTTTCCATAGCAACAGTTTCCATAGCAACAGTTTCCATAGCAACGGTTACCATAGTCACCGTTTCCATGACAACAGTTTCCATAGCAACCGTTTCCATAGTAACTGTTGCCATAGTAACTAACAGTTTCCATAGCAACAGTTTCCATAGCAACGGTTACCATAGTCACCGTTTCCATGACAACAGTTTCCATAGCAACCGTTTCTATAGTAACTGTTTCCATAGCAACCGTTTCCATAGCAACGGTTACCATAGCAACCGTTTCCATAACAACGGTTACCATAGTCACCGTTTCCATAGCAACCGTTTCTATAGTAACTGTTTCCATAGCAACCGTTTCCATAGCAACGGTTACCATAGCAACCGTTTCCATAACAACGGTTACCATAGTCACCGTTTCCATAGCAACCGTTTCTATAGTAACTGTTTCCATAGCAACCGTTTCCATGACAACCATTACCATAACCGTTTTATTCCTTAACAACGATAATATTAAAATATTGGCCAAGAAACCCTGCGATGTAGGCATATTTTTTGTTTACAAAAAGTTTAAAGGAAGTTGACCACTGGAAACTCTTGGAAAAATTCATGTTGGAAATTTCAATCAATTTTTTTTTCCATATAACCTAGAATGAAAAACTCATGTTTTCTATACATACCTGAATTAAAATTATTGTTAAATAATTTGCTAATTAATTATTTATAATAATTAATTACAATTTGTATTTAAACTATTAATGAAAGTAAAAAATAAAAAACTTTTAGGTTAGAAATAGTTAGGTTAGGTTATCATGTCTATCAATTAAACAAGTTCCTAACCTAAAAGATTACTTTCATAAATAATACAAATAAAATGACTTTAATAAAGTTTTCTCAAGTGTAATGTCAATGCAAACAATTTTAATTCAGTTTATGTTGAAAAATATTTATATGAAAAAAAAAATTTATCGAAATTTCCAACAAGGAATTTTTAAGATTTTTTTCAAAGTGGAACCATTTTTCACGTGGGATATTCGAAAAAATAAAAAATATATTATCAGGCTTGTTTTAATGATTCACTTGGCGCAAGATTTGTATCACCCATTTTTTTCGTCAATTCCTGCATAAGATCACGATAAATTAACGAATCAATATTTGACGATAAATTATAGAGTATCCACCAGTCACCTAATGCTATTTTTTTATTGATACTTTGACATGTTTCAATTGGCAATAATCTCGATGATAATTGAAGAATTCTTGGTCTTATTGATGGTGCAAATATAATTGCAGCTCGATATGTTAATAGGCCAGTGAGTAATCCCAATAGAATTAAATACCAAAACCAAATGAAAATATATGTTTTTTCATTAACAACATTTAATGGTAAAACACAAAGTGAATCGTGTTTTTGTATTGATCCTGATGCTCCATATTTATGAAAGATACATTTTGTAACACGTGGAAATACATAAACCATTGGATCAACACGATTCTCCTGTGGTATATCAGATATTTGTAGTACTCTTAATCCATAGCTGAGAAATTCACCGTCAAAGAATAGATTCATCAAATAAAGTTGTGTTACAATGTTTATCAGGCACAAGACTTCGCAGCTAAAGTAACGATAGACGTACGAGTTGTGACACTGTGGAAAGAACAAATCAACGAATTAGAGGGAATTGAATTCAATCAACTTGAATTGCTCATCCTAAACCACATCCGTCCTTTCCTTAGGATGGACCGTTCTTTAACTTCTCCCATTTCTCTTATTTTTTTTTTTTTTCATTGCTTTTAGATTTTGTAACTTTTCTTTCAATTCATTAGAAAACATTAATTTACACTACTCTCGACATTTTACTCAATTTTACTCGCTATTTATCAAAATAGTTTAAATTTAGTTTTACTTCAGTAAAATTTAATAGTTCAGTCGAATTTTACTAAAAATCAGTTGAAATTACTAATTTTAAATAATCAACTCTACATTATCATTAATCGGTAAAACAGATTTATCAGTAGTCGATAAAACAGACTTTTCTGTTTCAATCGGTAAAGATATTCTACTTAATTTCAATTACTGAATTGAATTTTAATGGAAATTTTAATGAAGTTGCCAAATTTCAAATATTGCAGAACAAAAATCGTTAAAACAAAATTATTTGTATTTTTATTTAATTAAATTTCATTAGATAGAAAATTTTCTTTTAGCAATTTATATTTATTCGAATTACTTTATTTTGACTTTATTTTAATTAATTTTCAATAAACCGATTTTCTATATTACATAATTTTTATATAACCAAAAATCCAGAATTGGATTTTCATTTAACGTAATATCTATTTAAATTAATGGTTTAATGAAAATTTTGTAAAAAAAAATATATATATAAACAAATACAAAATTCAAACAAAGTTTACTAAATTAAATATGTTTTATCAGCAGTTAGTAAAAAAGACATGACTGTCAAATGTGTTTTATCAGCAGTTGGTAAAAAAGATTTGACTGTAAAATCTGTTTTACCGACTAATGATAAAACATATTTGACTTTAAAATTTTACTGATTGAAATTTCAGAAAAAAAACCATTTTATTATTTTTTCATTGATGTAAAATTTTCATTGAAATTTTTTAATTAAATAATTCAAGTCTATTTTATCAGCAGTTGGTAAAACAGATTTAACTTTCAAATCTGTTTTACCAACTACTGATAATAATAATAATAATAATAATAACCATAAAATAGTAAAAATAATTAAAAGAATCATACTTTTATGTGTGTCATCAAATAATTCATCAAATTATCCTTTTTTTTGGTTATTGTTTCTTCCTCTTCAAGGCCATGATTTAAACCCATTACCAAAGATCGTATCAAATTGCCTTCCCATATTTTCCATATGTAGTGGGGCAGATAACACAATATTGCCTATAAAAAAAAAAGAAATTTCTATTATATATAGAATTTTTTTTTTTCACTTAATTTTCATTTAAACATTAAATTCTAATTTGACTTTTTTTTAAACTTCTGAAAATCAATTATCTTTGTCAATAAATTATCAATTAGAATTTAACTCAGTCCTTTGTAGATTAGTATTAATAGTTTTGGTATTTTTACATAAAATAATATTTTTATTTTTATTTCAAATTTTTTTCTAAACTCAGAAAAAAAATATAAAATTTTATTTTGTGGCAAACATTTTTTTTTTTTATTAGCAAAGTTTTAAATAAAAAGAAAATTTTAAATAATTTTTTACAATAAAATTAATTATAAGAAAAAAACATTTTTTTTTAATTCTCGTCCAATTGAAAGAAATGAATTAAAGTTTCAAATGTAGTAAATTGATAAATGTAAATTTAAATCAAATTCGAGGAAGGATCAAATTCTCTCTAAATCAAATTGAACGTGATTAATTATACTTTGTATTTTGTCTGCGCGCGGCTTTAATTTGAAATGAAATAATAAATTATATTTTCAAACGATGTAGTATATATATATATATATATATGTATATCACATAAAGAAATGAAATAAAAGAAAAGAAAGGCCTCACACGAGCCTGTGTAACAGATAGCTATATGTTACCATAAGCAGATATCAAGAGATATATTTAATTTTTATTTTTATTTTTAATATTAAAGCATAGAATAGCATCTTCCTGATGAGTTCGCAAAAGAATAATATTTTATACTGTCAATGTGAAATAATATACATAATACACGTGCGTTTATACTCACTATATATGATTATAAGTAGAATTTTTTTTTATTATTAATAAATAAAATAAAATAAAATATTAATAAATAAATAAAATAAAATAAAATATTAATAAATAAATAAAATATTTTTTTTATTAATGAAAAATAAATAATTCACATTACCTGGAAAAATAGTGCAAAACAGACCCATTGATAGTACGTGTAATATTTTCTGGCATTAACATTTCCAAAATCATTGGAAACACCCGGATGTGCAACATCCACACCAACCTGTCGAAAAATTGTCAAAATTAGTATACAATATAAAAAAAAAGAAATAATAATAATAATAATGAAAATAATAATAGTAATAATTTATTACAATTGGAATAAAAACTTATAATAATAATAATAATAACAATTTGATTCATGGTATTTTTTCTCTCTTTTTTTTAAATTATAAATTCAATTTTCCTTTTGTGATAAATGAAAAAAAAATTGAATTTTTGAAGAACTAAAAAATATTTAATATTTTGCAAAAATTGTTCGGACGTTAAAATGACAAAAAAAAACCGTTTACGTCACAAATTATCTAAAATGAATTCTCGCATGCTGGTATGTTTGCTGATTAGATTTGTTATAATAAAACGGAAATTAACATTTCACATGTAAAAAGTGTTTCATCAATATTTTCAAAAAAAAAAAAAGGAAAAAATCATTGGTTTTTTCTAAAGTATTAATTAATTTTGATTATCTATTTCTAATATTGCTATAGGGATAAACATTTTCTCTAATCATTATTTGAAAAAACAAGTCCTTTTTTCTATTAAAAAAAAAATAAAAAGAAATCCAAAATAAAAAAAGAAATATAATAAATGAACTTGATTCGTCGAAATGGTTCTTTGTTTTCAAAAAAGGGAGAGTTGTTTCCGGTTTTTTATACTTGCTCTCGCATCCACCTCTATTATAATTCTTTTTTTTTCTCTTTAATTCCAACGTGAATTTCCGTTAGTATACACCTGATGGGAAAAATACTCTTAATAAATAATCTCAGGTTCCATATTATCAAAGTGTAACCAAATCTTAAGGTTTTTTTTTTTAATTATTATTTTTTTATTTTAATATTTACGAAAGATAATAATAATAACATTAATAAAAATAATAATAATAATACCCCAAATTTTTAAGGGGAATCCGAAAAATGTAAATTTCTTTTTAGAATAGGAAAAAGATAATATATTTTATTTATAAAAATAATTTTGATAAAATCAATTTTGATCTGTTTCTAATTGAAAACCAGTTTTTCTTTTTTTTTTCTATATAAAATTCCAAACCGAATGTAATATACACATATTGTACCGAAAGTATTGCTTCTTTTGATTATTCATCAAAACCAGTCCGTGACTAGAGATTTTAAACCTTTTTCAATGTGACGCAATTTTACCTGCAAAGAATAACGAACTATTTACTACCATTCTGTAAATTTTTTTTTTAAACGTATACGAAAGTCAATTATGTCACTTGGATGAGGAAGAGAAATTTTCATATTTAATCTTCTCTTATACTGAATATATTTATTTGTAACTAAAAATGAGAACAATATTTATTAAAATAGAAAATAAAATCTAATTTTGAATCTGAGATATCACTGAATAAAATTGGAATTTAGGAACTAAATTACTTAATAACTCTGCATTATCAGCAGTTGGTAAAAAAGATTTGAATGTTAAATCTGTTTTACCCAACTGATGATAAAACAGATTTGAATGTTAAATCTGTTTTACCAAACTGATGATAAAACAGATTTGAATGTTAAATCTGTTTTACCAAACTGATGATAAAACAGATTTGAATGTTAAATCTGTTTTACCAAACTGCTGATAAAACAGATTTGAATTATTTAGTGTGAAACAAATTTTAGTTCATTGTTGCTGTAAACAATAAAATCTCCTTGAATCTTATACTATTTGCTAATTTTTACCGAACTCATTTTCTACAAAAAAAAAAAATAAATTCTTTCTATATATGAATTTGTTATATTTTATTGATTAAATATCTGAAAAGCAATTGAAATCATTTCAGTAAGATTTCCAATAAAATTCAATCACATTTAACTGAAAATTAGTAGAATTCTTTACTGATTCAGTAAAATCTGTACTATCATCAATCGGTAAAATAGATTTTATTGAATCAGTAAAGAATACTACTAATTTTTAATTAAATATATCTGAATGTTAGTGTAAATTTTACTGAAATTATTTCAGAATGCTAAATTTCAGCTATATCATCAATAAAATCTCACTGATTCAAATTTAAGAAGAACTATTTTTTACTATGAGAGTTTGGTAATATTTACCAAATATAATAGAATTCAAGAAGATTTTACTATTTCTAGCAATTTTGAAGTAAAATTTTCATTGAAATTTTTTTACGTACTAAATAATTGAAATCTGTTTTATCATCAATTCGGTAAAACAGTGTCAAATCTGTTTTACCAACTACTGATACCAATTTCTGATATTTAGTGAAGTAATATCAAAACTACATCAGTATTTTACTGATTCTCATAGAGAATAATAAAAAAAATTATACTTTTACAATAAACAAAAAAGAAAGTGTAAAAATTTAAATCGGAAATATTCTATTAAAAAAAAAAAAAATAATAACCGTCACTTTCAAGTTTACAGAATAAATTCCATTATGGTCTTTATATAATCTTTTTGTTAAATGTATTTTTTTTTTCGTTCCGAACAAAGATTTCTTTACAACTGTTATTTAAGACTTGAGCTCATCTTAAGTGAAATGCCTCCATTTTATCTTTCTTCGTTCTTCACGCACACGTTCGTTTCTCTGGAAATTTCGATGCCTGGGAAGCCGCAGTGTATAGTGCTTTGTATTTATCTTTTATACTAACTTTAATATTTTTTTACTATTATCTCATAAGACAATATTTATTTATTTATCCTCTTATTTAAAAAGATTTCTATTACAGTTTTATTTTTTAATTTAATAATCTCAATTATAAAGTAAATAAAAGTAAATAAAAATAAATAAAAATAAATAAATTTAATAATAATCTCAATTTTATAAAAAAAAAAATTAAAAAAGAAAGCAAAAAATCAAAAATATTAAAATTCATCTGCGAAATGAAAAATTGCTCTTTATTTTTTTATAATTTGATATAGGTGACCTTTTTGTATTTTTGTCAACATTTTTTTTTTTTAATGTAACCTGAGAGCAAAAAAAGAAAAAGTTCTGCTTCATTGGTGTATTGCGTAAGGTCAGTGCACTATATATAAGCTTATTAACATATGCGAAAGATAAAATTAATTTAGGACGCGATTCTGATGTAAGAACAAAAAAAATGACCTATGGAACTTGTTAAAACAATTTAAAATAAGAGAAGAGGGGGAAGAAAAAATTCTTTTTGGGTCAGCAAAGTTTTTTATTATCCTAGACAAAAATTTTTTAAAAATCGAAACATTTAAATTAATTATTTTTTTATTACTTATTTATTATTTTTCTAAATAATCGCTTTTATTATTATTATTATTATTATTATTATTATTATTATTATTATTATTATTATTATTATTATTATTATTATTATTACTATTATTATTATTATTAGTATTATTGTTATTATCATTGTAATTATTGTTGTTATTATTGTTATTGTTTTTGTTTTCTATTGTCATTATTCTTAAATTATAAATATTTTCAAAAATTGTTATCAAATTGAATGATTAAAAAAATTCTTTTCTAATTATTTTAACAGTTATCATTTTTAAATGACGACAAAAAAAAATTTTTTTGAATATCGATTATAACTGCGTGAGTCATTACAAAATATTCCAAATATTAAATTCACATAAATTAGATAAATTAAATTAACATAAATTAGATAAATCAAAAATTGATAATTAAATGTAATTTTTTTCTTATAATAATTTAATTCGAAAATTTTGAATTAAATGAAAATTAAAATTCAAACTATATATTAAAATTCAACTAGTAAATTAAAATAGTAAAACTCAACAAAAAAAAAAAACTGCAATCCATAAAAAAAATTCATTCACAAAACTTTCTATTTTTTTTTTAATAACTATAATTCCATAAAATTATTTTTTAAAAAATCTGGAAAAAAAACCACACTGAAAAAAATATTTGATACAAATAATCTGTTACTTTACTAATATCAAATAAATATTTACTTGAACGAAATAAATATTTACTTGAACCAAATAAATATTTACTTGAACGAAATAAATATTTACTTGAACCAAATAAATATTTACTTGAACGAAATAAATATTTACTTGAACGAAATAAATATTTACTTGAACGAAATAAATATATACTTGAACGAAATAAATACATATTTACTTGAACCAAATAATTTTGGTGTAAATTAAATTTTATTTATTTCAAATACAGAAATCATTGATTCAAATACAGTTTATTTAATTCAATTAAATTCAAAAATTATTTCATTCAAGTAAATATTTATTTAATTCAAGTAATCGATTATTTGAATGAAATAAAAAAATTTTTTTTTGTCACTACAGTGGTTCTCATAATACAAAAAAGAAAAAATAATTTTTTTTTTTGAACTTAAATATTACCAAATGAAAATTTAATAAAAATGGTGACTTTGTTAGAGGGTCAATAATCATTATCATCATCATTATTATTATCATCTCGAGGTCAAGACTCACCTGCCGATTAAAGGCATCCGGCATCGTAAACGTTGACATAATCCAACAGTATGTGTTGATTGGATACTTTGGTAGTCCCTCAACAATACACGAAATTGGACTCCCTACATATTGATTAGCGGAAATAATCATCGAACACATAAAAAGTAATGCTGCCGTAAAATGATTATGGAGTCGAAACACCATTGAATCCGTTGAAATCTCATGATATTTGAAGTAGGTCCTTAAATCGCCCAGCAATTTAAACATGATTACTGTTTTTTTATTCTTCTATCACGTTAACAAAAAAAAAGAAAAAAAAAAAAATTCTGTTTACAGAAATAAAATAAAAAATTTCACTTTAATATCCTCCCACTTTTTAAATTCATCAGTAGTGAATTTTCGCGCTTTTTTCTCTTTTTTTGAAAGGGGAGGGGAGATTTTTTTTTTATCAATTTTTTTTTATTAATTAATCAATTTTTTGCACTTTTTTCTCTAATAATAATAAATAATCGGCATTCGAACGCCGAGTTCGAAAACTCGAAAACTCCGGTGCTATCTCATCTGTCACGAAAACGTAGCGACGAATGGGCAACTTAGAACCGGCTACACAGCTGTCCACGCGGCGTCTTCTCTCTCGCTCTCTCCCTCTCCTTCTCCCCTTTTTCCCTTCTTTTCTCTCTCTCTCTCTCTCTTCCCCTTTTTCCTTTCTCTCTCTCTCTCTCTTCAATGCCCTTTTCCGTCCTTTCTTTTAAATTCTTTTTTCCTTCACAACACTTGGAAAATTCTTTTTCCCCCTCACACCTTTTAGAATTGCTATAAGGGTGAGAGTGGGGATAGTGAATCCCACATTTGTGAACCCCCCAAGAAAGCGCGCCAAACGGGGGAAAAATTTAAATAATTCTTTTTGGCAAAAAAATAAAAAATTTTTATTGAGGGGGAAAATTGATTTTTTTTTTTGGTGAAATTAATTAATTTTTATTCACTTTTTTTTTTGTTTTTTTTTTTTTTTTTGATCACCGATTCGTGTATACGTACTTACGTACGAGTCTCTTGGACGGTAACTGACGAGAAGTGGCAGTGGGTTTGTTGTGGGGGCAGGAATGGAGGGGTGAAAAGAGGGGACTACATCCCCCACTTTTGTGCTACAATCTACGGGCACGATCCTTGCCTCTCTCTCTCTCTTTCTCTCTCTCTCTCTCTCTCACTCTCTCTCTCTCTCCTGCCACGCTACAGTCTCTGTTCTCCTCGATGGTCTATCCACCGTTAATTCTCGTCCTGCTTGCAGCTCACTTTACTTTGTACTTTCTCGAGGAAAGAAAAAAAAAGGCCACATCGAATTCCTCTGTATTTGTGTTTTTGTAATGGAAGCAAACCAAAAAAAAAAAAATAAATAATGGAGAGTTTTACAGAATTTTTTTTTTCAATAAAATGTTTCTTCAAAAAGTTTGGGGAAAATGGTGAAGTGAAGGGGAGAAATAGGGATAGAAAAAAGGGGTGTGGATGAGGGTGAAAGAGGCGAGGCAAAGGGTTGAGAAATTGTGCAATATTACGCAATTTTATTTCGCTGTATTTCGCAAATTGAAATTGTAAATTTATTATTATCATTCAGTAAAAAAAGAAAAATTGTATTTTAGTCAATTTAGAAGAAAAAAAGCAAAAAAGAAGCAAATTGAAATTGTAAATTTATTATTATCATTCAGTAAAAAAGGAAAAATTGTATTTTAGTCAATTTAGAAGAAAAAAAGCAAAAAAGAAGTTTGATAGAATTTACCAAATTTTGTTTTGAGACAAGTAGAAAGTTTGTTTAATCTAGTACAATTTGGTTATGACAACCAAAAAGTGTTATTCAAATTTAGTTGAGACTATCAAAAAGTTTGATTAAAATTACTAAATTTGGTTCAAACAACTCAAAGTTTGATTAATCTTGTCCAATTTGGTTAAGATAACCAAAAAGTGTGATTAACCTAACCAAATTTAGTTAAAACTATCAAAAAGTTTGATTAAGTCTATCAAATTTGGCAGACGATACTAAAAATTTGATTAAATCTACTAAATTTGGTTCAAACAACTAAAAAATTTTATTAATATAGTCCAATTTGGTTAAAGATAACCAAAAAATGTGGTTAACCTAACCAAATTTGGTTAAGACCATAAGAAAGTTTTATTAAATCCACCAAATTTGGCTAAAGGTACTAAAAGTTAAGTAAAATTATGAAATTTTAGTATGAGACTATCAAAAAATTTGATTAATCTAGTCCAATTAGGTTACGCCAACTAAAAAGTGGGTTTAATCTATCCAAATTTGGTTGAGACTATCCAATAGTTTGATGAAGTCTACCAAATTTGGCAGAGGATACTAAAAGTTTGATTGAATATACCAAATTTTGTTGAAACAACTAAAAAATGTGATTAATGTCGTCTAATTTGGTTATAAACAACCAAAAAGTGTGATTAACGTAACCAAATTTGGTTAATACCATCAAAAAGTTTGATTAAATCTACCAAATTTGGCTGAGGCTACTAGAAATTTGGTAAAATTACCAAATTTTGATTTGAAACTATCAAAAAAATTGATTAATCTAGTCTAATTAGATTACGCCAACCAAAAAGTTGGTTTAATCTACCAAATTTGGCAGAGGATACTAAAAGTTTGATTGAATCTACCAAATTTTGTTGAAACAACTAAAAAATGTGATTAATGTCGTCTAATTTGGTTATAAGCATCCAAAAAGTGTGATTAACCTAACCAAATTTGGTTAATACCATCAAAAAGTTTGATTAAATCTACCAAATTTGACTGAGGCTACTAGAAATTTGGTAAAATTACCAAATTTTGATTTGAGACTATCAAAAAAATTGATTAATCTAGTTTAATTAGGTTACGCCACCCAAAAAGTGGGTTCAATCTATCCAAATTTGGTTTGGACTATCTAAAAGTTTGATTGAATCTACCAAATTTTGTTGAAACAACTAAAAAATGTGATTAATGTCGTCTAATTTGGTTATAAACATCCAAAAAGTGTGATTAACCTAGCCAAATTTGGTTAATACCATCAAAAAGTTTGATTAAATCTACCAAATTTGGCTGAGGCTACTAGAAATTTGGAAAATTACCAAATTTTGATTTGAGACTATCAAAAAAATTGATTAATCTAGTTTAATTAGGTTACGCCACCCAAAAAGTGGGTTCAATCTATCCAAATTTGGTTTGGACTATCTAAAAGTTTGATTCAATCTACCAAATTTGGCAGAGGATACTAAAAATTTGATTAAATCTACTAAATTTGGTTTAAACAACTAAAAGTTTGATTAATCTATTCCAATTTGGTTAAGATATCCAAAAAGTGTGGTTCACCTACCCAAATTTGGTTAAAACTATCAAAAAGTTTGATTAAGTCTACCAAATTTGGCAGAGGATACTAAAAATTTTATTAATCTAGTCCAGTTTGGTTAAGATAACCAAAAAATATGGTTAACCTAACCAAATTTGGTTAAGACCATCAGAAAGTTTGATAAAATCTACCAAATTTGGCCAAAGCTATTAAAAGTTTAGTAAAATTACAAAATTTTGATTTGAGTCTATCAAAAAAATTGATTAATCTAGTCTAATTAGGTTACGCCAACCAAAAAGTTGGTTTAATCTATCTAAATTTGGTTGAGACTATCCAATAGTTTGATAAAGACTACCAAATTTGGCAGAGGATACTAAAAGTTTGATTAAATCTACGAAATTTTTTTGAAACAACTAAAAAATGTGGTTAATCTCGTCTAATTTGGTTAAAAACAACCAAAAAGTGTGCTTAATCTAACCAAATTTGGTTAATACCATCAAAAAGTTTGATTAAATCTACCAAATTTGGCTGAGGCTACTAGAAATTTGGTAAAATTACCAAACGTTGCTTGAGACGACCAAAAAATTTGGTTTACCTAGTCTAATTAGGTTAAGACAACCAAATAGTCTGTTTAGTTTATCCAAATTTGGTTGAGACTATCAAAAAAATTTGATTAATTCTACCAAATTTGGCAAAGAATACTTAAAGTTTGATTGAATCTACCGGTTGAGATAAGCAAAAAAATATTTGGTTATATATACACCAAATTTTTTTTTATTAAATCTACAAAATTTTGATTGAGACAACAAAAAAATTTATTTGAATCTACCAAATTTGATTGAGATTACTAAAAAGTTTGGTTGAATGTCCCAAGAAAATCTCTCACAATCAAAAAGTTTGATTAAAAAAAAAAAAAAAAAAACGAATTACGTTCACAGTACTAAATCATTATGTTTTTGTCTTTCTTTTATTATACATTGATAAACGAAAAATAAAACGTAAAAAAATCGCGAGATATTTCGATGTGACTCAATTTCGCATACTTTCTCCACGATGGATTTTTCCTGTTTACGATCATAAGTCAATGAGCTATCAATTCTCGCGAAATGTCACACAGCTGGTAGAAGTGAATAAATCTTTTTCTTTTCAATATAATATGTTTCTATTTTTAGAAAGGCAAAAAAAAATATTACGTATTTAAATGAAATTTTATCTTTACTTTTTTTCGTATATCAATCGCTTTGTAGAAATAAAAATCAATTTATTGACTTTTGGGGAATTTAGTGAAATAATTTTGATTACACAACAATCTTGGAATTAGCAAATTGCAATATTTTTTTCTGACTCATGAATATTTTTATAATTTTTTTTTTCATTTGTTGCTATGGCGGCAATTTTTTTTTTAATATCTGAAATTAAAATTTAGAATTTTATTTTGAAAAAAATATATATACTTATTGATTTAAAAATTTTTGTTTATTGTAGATTAGAAAACACTTGCTGTTTCTATTTTTTGATCTTATTATATAAAGTAAAATTCGAATAATCAGGTAGCCTTCTAGTATAATAATTAATTGAGAATAAAAAATATTCTTTATTATAAAATACAAAAATAATAAATATTTTGAGAACTTTTTATATTTTTATTTATTTCATTCATTTATTATCAAATTTTTTATTTTCTTGCAAATTTGTAAAACCGTACATTATTGTTAAATAAATAAATTTAAAAAAACAAAAAAATTGAATAAAATACAAAAAATGTTTAAAGAAAAAAAGTTTATTTTTAACTTTTGGAGTCGCCATAGTTATCTTTTTTTTTTTTTTAATAAATAATGAAAAATATGTTTCATGTCACTTTATAAGTTTCTGTCTATTCATATACATAGAAATTTTTTCCTATACACAGACATTTTTATTGGTGCCACTTGAAATACGGGTATTAACATTTTCATTGTGAACACATGTTTTCCAGACCCAAATATGCTGCTGTTAAAACGGAAGTCGAGAGTAAAACGAAAAAAAAATTCGGTTACTGTATTACTATTTTTCCAAATTTGTTATCAATTTTTGCACGAATTTTTTCAAAAAAAAAAAAAAAAAAACAATTTTTATTGTCTTACAAAAAAAAGGCATTTTTATCTTTACAAAAATAAACATTTATAAATAATTTGTCAGTTGCTCGAAAAATTCAATTAACTTTTTTTGGTGTAAAAAAAAAGCATCAAATCTTTTAAAATGCACAAAACTCACGTATACTCGTGACTTGAATATTCAAACAATTTTATTTTAAAGAGACTATTTTTATTTGTGCTACAATTTCTCAGGCACTTGACATTATAACCCTTTGAAAACAGAAAAAAATGTGTATAGAATCCGTTGACTTATAGTACAAGTAGCAGACTTTCAGTATATGTGTTTCTTTTTTTTTGACGTCTCCCTAAAAAAACTTTAAAACTGTTTCTATTTTTGCTTGTGAGTTCTCATAAAAACTTCTATATAGAGGAAATAAATATATAAGAAAAAGGGTGAATTTTTTCAAAGTTAAGTAAAAATGTTCGTATATTTTTTTCTTTTTTTAGTTTTTTTTTAAATTTCTTTTTATTTATTTCTACTTATTTTTTTTAATTTTAATTTCTTTTTATTTATTTGTATTTTTTCAATTTTTTATAGTGTTTTTTTAATTTATTTAAATTTTTTTAATTTTTAAATATTTTTTTTAATTTTAAAA